TTCAATAATCGCTGGATATTGGTGGGGACATGTCCCTTCCGTCCATGCCAAATCTACGCCCTTGCTGCTGGCTATCGGCCCTATCCAGGGTATGTTTCTGTTATCTGGGCTCACCCACCCTAACACCAGGACCTGGATAAATGCTTGCACAAAGTGGGTTTTCAACTCAAGTTAACCCAGGGTTTCCCAGCGAATTCACACGAAAAGGGTGTTGACAGCATCAAACTAATCTACGAATCTAATCCATGGGTCATATGCCAGATGAGAGTACAATAATAGATTCTCTGAATCTATTATTGTACGATCTACTGTACAATATAAATCTCATTGAGGTGACCGTTGTTGTGATTTGGCTCTATGTAGATAAAATTGAATTTAATTGAAGCAGAACAGGATTTATACACAAAAATCAACAAATGAATACACACACATTCCTGTACCAATGCGATGCACCGTTTGCTTTTCATTTCATGAGTAACATAACATTAGCTTTAGCATGTTGCTGATTTAAAATCTATCCCCCATCACATGATCACCTAATCCATGCTATAAATCAAAGGCTCATTGAAAACATGGCACTTCCATCTGACTATAAACCAAAACGATACAACCTGCTCCGACAGTTTGACTTAATATTCTCTCAGCTGCAGACTCGCTGCAGTTTGAGTGTTTGAGAGCAAAGATTAGATATCAAAACAAAAGTCTGTGTACACATTTGATTACAGGTCAGCAATTACAGGGTCTCTGTTTTAAGATCAAATATGTAAAATTGTTTTCAGCCAACATGAAAAGGGAATAAAGTTGCACCTATGACCATATTACAGATGCTCATCTGGGACACACAGACACAACACAGACTTTACAAGCAGATTCTGCTGTTTTAGCTCTTTTCTGGAGAATTGATTTGTCAGCGGGTGGTGATTTGAAACCCGTTAATCTCTAATCTGGATGTCTTTCTGCATGCTCAGTAATCAAGGTGAGGAAATCCCAAAAAGTTGATTCTGTTCATCTGGACGTAGCGTTTTCAGTGGGAGAAACATTTCGACAGTCTAGTAACTTCTTCAGTTGCTACTGACTGCAGGTTTCAACAAAGGTTGGGGAAACAGAATCACCTTTTTTGGACTCTAATCTGGATCTTAACCTGGTCTGGAACGGGTTAGATTTACATCATAAGTTACTGTGGCGATTAAGAAGTGAACCACCTTTGTCACACAGAAGGGCTGCTTCATAGGCTTCAGATGGAACTCGATGGGCAACTTTGAAAGGGGAACACCTACTTCAAGTCACTTGGTTAGTACATAAAAAAAGTGCTTGCATTCACACGCTATGCATAATTACAACCACACACTGCACTCAGTGTAATGTAGTCACATTTACAAAAGTGCAAAAATCTCTTTTAGATTGCAGAGGCAAAGTGAGAGACAAACAGCAGAGACATTTATCAATCCTTATCAATCCTCTGCTCTGTTTGTGTCCATTTGTTCGTAGATCTGAA